GGGAGTGGGGTGGAGGAGTGGGGGTGTACGTAGACGCAGATGCATGTGTGTGCATACGAGGCGGGTTGAGAACAAAGGAGTAACAGTTTCGCTGGTTGTACTGGTAAGAAAGGATGCTGCAGTGTCTGCGACAGGGGCAAAAATATATGTCTCGCGCATTCTTTTATTGTTTGTTTTTAAAGTTGCTTTAATGATTACAGCATTGGACTAATACATCGGGGCAAAATTCTCCATAGCTTTTGATTTGTACCTGGTGATATTTCTTGACAGGCTGACTTTAACCGATGTTGTACAAATTAGAAATGGCGTTCAGTTGATGCCACCTCACAGTTAGGGCTTCATAACAAAAAATACTTACTGAGAAACTTTTATGCCACGAAGACTAGAATTTGCCTAATAAGCTTCCCAAAATCGCGCAAAACCGAGAAGAGGCTCCTTGTGAGCGGAAAGGCTATGCCTCTGCAATCATGAGAGTGGGTCTGTTTAGAGCCAAAAAATTTGATCTGATTCTATCCGGATCAAGTTCCGTTCAACGTGAAACTGACCCATAAATGCCTCCAATTGCGATGCAGCCACATCAAGCTCCTCTTAGCCGCTGTTCACTTACATAAGCACCTGTAGGCATTGATTCGCTACAATCACTAGGTCGGAATGGGAAATACTGATGCAGGACTTAACCATTTTTCTGGAAAAAATATGTTATTCCACATAAAACTCGCGCTTTTACAAGGCTATCGTAAAAAATCAAGACAAGTTTTGAGAAGGCTCTTTTTTGATACCCCTCCACACTGGTTAACACGACGTCCAATCGCCTGCTATTTCAAATGGTTCGGCATTTGTGGAATTTCCCATCTTATTTTGCCTCTTGGAGTATCCTTAACTGTACCTAGTTACAGAAAAGGATCGGCTTCCCCTTAATCATCACCCCGTTTCTAGGGCTAATTGCAGCCACGCTTACCTGATTGGCTTCAATTGCCTAGATTGTCAACGCTCATATTCAATAGTATCCAGAAACGTCTTTGAAGTCGTAGCAGCACCAAAGGGAAAGGCATTATTAACATGCAGAAGGACTTGGTGGCTGTAGGTAGGAAAAGACGCCACGACACAGAAAGTATGATCGGAACTGCACACTGTAAAGTCCACATTCAGGTACACCATTAAGGCGTTGTTTTAATAAGTAGAAAATCTTCTTTTGAACTCCGCCTCATACGCTCTCTGTGGCCAACTTTTTCTTCCTCCGACACTGCTAGTAATTGTAGGTGAAGTGCCACCAACCGTGAGGCGGGAAAGAAGTCGTTTGATGCATTGAGGGTATATGGAAAATGCTACCTACCACAATGGTAATGCAGTTAGGATCCCAAAATAGTATAGCATCAGCCAAATAAATTGGGGATCGGGGAGGGAGCTAGTTAAGATGTGGTGCTACGGGTTCGATGGTGTTCTCCCGAGAGCATATTAAGTACACCAATAGCCGTTCTTAAGGGTACTTGCCTAAAGGGGATATGCGGGAGGAGGGTGGCATAACTTCAAATCACAATAACATCACAAGCAGCTCTTCAATGTAATTATCATCCCAGGGACTGTATTTATGCCCGAGTACTCTAAGATAATTGACGGGTTTGACATAATCTGAAGCCATAACGTACAACAGAAGCAGTGATAAGAATGATGAACGAAATTCAATCAATGCTTGAAGTAAACATCTAAATTAAAAAAAGCAAAAGAGTACTTATTACTTTTTTTACAAATCTTACAGACAAAGTTCTCCTTTTTGGATATAAGTAACGTTCTGGAAACAGATGATCAACTATTGCCCAAGGAAATCCATGAATAGCTGTGTGCATTAACGCCAGTGAGATGGCATTTCATTCTGAAGGGATCTAAGTGGCCTAACCTTTGTACAAGTAGCCACTTCGAGAATTTACAATGGATCGCACCCTCATGCGCGATGATTTAGGCGTGTGTGCATGTGTGAACAACCGGCATTACAGCAGCGGTGCCTGAAAGTGCCATGCCACAAGACATCATTTTAGCGAGGCGGCAGCCCATTTTCACAATCTGCTAACATTATTCAGAGCCTGAAAATTCATTTCTGGTACATCTCGGTGGAAAAATCGATATTTTAGAGGGCGGTTTCGCACGAGCAGTAAAATCGATAATCGATTACAAGGGTTATGGACATCATTTGAAGCCAACAGCACTGAGCGGGGCGCTCTTTTGCTTTCACGATCTACCACCACTATTCAGGGCCTGAAAAGTCATTCTCAAAATCTTTTGGTGGAAAAATAAATACTTCAGGGGAAAGGAGGGGAGGGGGGAGGCTCTCACACAGCAAAATCAACCGTAATTTATTAATCCGAGACTACAGTAAATTGTAGCTTGCTCTCGAATTTGTCGCAAGTCTTGATGTTTTAAATGAGGCGAGCAAATATTTCCTGATTTTAATTACATCCAGAAGAGGATGGGTCCTGAAAACTGCCTTCAAAAAACGGTGCATTTGAGAATTTCGACATCCTGTGTCCACTCCTTCAAAAGGTGTTTTCATTTAAATTCACCACAAAAGTGAAAGAAACCGTTTGAAAGGGAGCAAATTTGCCCAGAACTAGGAAATAGCTATTTTTAGAAATTGTGAAAGTGGAAATTTTATTTCCATGATTTGCAAACCTCCTGGAGCAAACCTCACATTGTCCAATACAACTAGAAATGAAAGACTCGAGGCTTCGTGGTCTTGGTGCTCCTGCCTGTCCCTAGTTGAAGTGTGGGGTGGCGTTGAGCTAATGGACAAAAACGAAAGTAGTTCTTCTCAGGCCTATGTTCGAACCAATCTGAATTACTACGAGTAGATGGGTGGGGAAACGAGGGCATGTCTCAAGGAGTGCCAACCGTACCCATCTGCCTGGTACCTGGAAAGCAGCTTCAGAGGAGACGATGTCGGCACAACCGCACCATTCCGGAATGGCCTGCACATCTTAGAATATCCAACTTGCACTGCCTCCTCGATTTCGGAAGTCTTCTTCGTAAACTCGTATGCTGCGATCACTACTTCCGCAAAAGGATTAGCCTATGCGCACTTTTCGGACACCGTAATGGCATCCTCACTGATAACAGACGGCCGAAGTCTAGTCTGCAAACCCAACTTTGTATGGCAGGAGCAAGGACGCGTATTTAATAACATGGGTGACGTCCTCTCGACCAAAAAGTTTACCGTCTGAAGTTCTGGGCGTCGCAAGAGTACTCCCATTCCCAACCACAGGGTTCAAAATTCACCTAGTTTCGAATTCAAACGGGTTTTTAGCCGCTCGGTTCACTTTTTTGCACTAGATGCAAACGATAACACCAAATTTTGAATACACGCACGCAAACCGCCACACGCATTGTGCGAGTCACTGTCGATTTCGTGGCGGGTTGCACCGGAAATAGCACCAGCCCCTCTGGACGCCTGAAAGCTAGACGCAATTTTACATGGTTCCAATCAATAGAAATAAGCAGTTCTATTGTTTCCGGACATAATTTACAGCTTTCAGCTCATGCAGCCACCTTCCTTAACAATCGACTAGATGGGAACACGACTGACTAGAACACCAGGACACTAAGACTGCTATCTTGGAGATTCAATCAAATTTAGGTAGCAAGAAATGATTTTCCTTCCATTTTAAATAACCTTCCATTTCACCGAGGAGGAGAACGAACCAAAAAGCAAATAAACAGTGCTAACATAGTACTCAAATCTTCCTGCAACATCAGCGCATTACAAGGTCAGAAGGGGAGGCAGGACAAGGAGGTTGGATGGAACAACAGTACAGAGCATAAGTTCCCCACCGCAATCGTCACAGCACGATGGCTGCCATCACTACTGTCTCGCATGACGTGACCGCTTACCAAAGGCCTCTTTAGCCGCGGGGTGTCGCTGTGCGTCAAAGTCGGGGTCGGTGGCGATACGACGTGAGAGCTGCTCGCACACGTAGGCCCTGAAAGCCTCGGAGACGTGTTGTGGTGGTGGCTGCCTCAATTCTGGCCCTTCGCTGTCACCCACCGTTGCTGCTGCCGTTGAAGGCGCCGTTGTCGCCGCAGCCATCTCAGCTGTCGATATTGCCGGGGATGCTGGAGGTGGTGCAAGCGACATCGCCTCCTTGAGGAGGGTCATGAAGAGCTGATTGGCTGGACAGGCCAAGCTCTGCTTCCTTTCCAACATCACCTGAAGTCATCAACCGTGTGTAAAGGCGAAAATCTCAAAGCGCTCTACTGACGCAGCACTTTCTTTGCCACCATCACAAATACGTTACGTGTTTTCTTTATCAGTTAAATGGCAACTGAGTGACAGCAACAAATATGTGGCATAGCTATGCGCAGTCACATATTCTTGGTCAAAACCACTACCGTAAACACCATAAACAATTCCAAGATTTAAATTCTCCTTGGGCGGGAAATTTTTCCGGGAGCGCTAATTATTGAAATGGCAATACTTTTACTCAACCTCTTTAAAACGCCACATTTTAGAGGCATCACAAGAACTAGATAATCGAATGAATAGGAAATGTGGCTAATGCTTGAAATGCGGAGGGAGTTGCTGCAGATTCTGTGAATAAAAGTTTAAATTTACAAAATTTGTTAGCCACATGAGGGCAATGGTGTCACCCAACATAGACAATAAAGGCTTGGAATTAAAGCATTATCCCACGCTCAACCTAGGGGTCGTTAGCCCCAAACAAGATCCAAACACAATTTTCGCATCGACTGATCGGTAACTGGGACCTGCCGATTTCTCAAACAGCGACGAATCTCGCATAAATACGGAATCAGGATGGCTTAGGTGTTTCAAACGATGCACCTCAAATGTATGGCGCCATATCTACACGGGTTGCTAAGACTGGTCAAGTGTTTTCAGGAACTGAGGGAACCGCAAGAAAGTTAAGCAGTTGGGATTTAAAGCTGGGTCTGATACAAAACCACCCAATTAGCATTGCGAAACACAAACAGACTGCGATTTTCAAAATCGTGGCTTTATAGTAGACCTTTTTTGCGGAAAAAATAGTAAAGAAATAAAAATCCCACTGAACTGGGGTGGATCAACTTAGCTTTGGTTCGCAAAAGTATTCACACTGGATGTCAGGACGGTGTTTTCAATTATACGGAAGGTTTAAAAACAAATTTGAAATGCTTGAATGATGGCAACTGAAAACGTCCCGGTATTGAGGTCAGCATTTTGATATAAAACGAAATGAAATGAAACTGAAATGGGAGAACCCTCGCTGCAGAAATATTTGACTGTAGGTGTTCAACTTCCTCTCTTCGATAAAATCAGATGTTTCGCTTTTAGCAAGCCCCGATCCTTAGGTAACAATAGCAAAACTCACAAGCGAGTAAGCCATATTTTGATGCACAACATTTCAAATGAGACTGACACAGTTGGAGAAATCAAAGGGCAATCGGATCTTGCAGATATTCCTGACCCTCACCCGTGTTTTAAACTGGGAGTGCACGAGAAATGCCAAGTGGACAGATGGCGTTCAACTGATGGTCTAGACCAAAAAGCTTTACCATTGAAAGTAAAACCTAGTTATGGAATTTATTCATATCTAACGATGCGAGAAGTTGGTTTTACCTGAGAAAGAGTAAATACTCAGCGACGCGTAAGAACTGAACGAAGAACTGTGGCTGTGATAGTAAAAAGCACATCAGATGACCACCGCTCCATTGAACTTATTTGTTATAAAACAGGTAAGCCTTCGCCACGGTCAACAATCACCACGAATATGAAAGTGCACAGAAAAGGCGACCTTTCGTTGCTGTAATTTCCTACTAATGCCGAAGGTAAATCAAACTTTTGTTCTAGACCTACTGCTAAATGCTTGGAGCAGTGACAGAAAGGGGTAGTTGAGGGTCCGGGTAACGTAAAGGTGATGTCGGGTTTCTTCAAATTCGTATTCATTGGGCGAAGAAACTACGAGGAGATTCAATTCAAACAGGAACCTCTAACTAAATGACTATGAAGGAAATACAGTAAGTGCCAAAGGTCCTCCGTTCTTACGCTTAGGGGGCGCAGTACTTCATGTACCAGTCAGCGGTGGTAGTATGAGCGAAACAGCGAGCAGTGCTGCAACATCTCGAGAGCAAGGGCGTAAAACCCAACGATATCTGCACGCACAGAAGACCTCAAACTCAGTAAAGCACAGTAGTGCGGCGCTGAGCTACTCAGCTGTAAGACATTTGGGTATTGTCCACTATTCAAGGGCTGTCATAGGTCTGTGACGAATCGGAAATTAGTAGTTTCCAGCTCGCTACCCCAAAAGTTAAGACACCAATAATGTGCGGGCCATTTTAGAGTGGCTCAGCCATACCAACAAATCTTGGTCCCCAGAAACTAATGTTCAGGTATTTGTCAAACGATAGAATGAGTGCGTAAATGTATTGAAAGGAGGGAGTAAGCGGAAAACTGAATCCAGGCAGCACTCCCAATTCGAATTAAGGGAGTCCTTACTTGAGGCAGTGAGAGAAACAATCAATTCCCTTGGTTAGAGCATAAAACCTTGAGCGCAACTACAGGCGATCTAAACGGGAGCAACCAACATTCACTTCAAACCATTGAGAACCAATACAACCAAGAAATCAGAAAGAGAGTTGGTGAAAACCACACACATGTTTTAAATTCCACCCAAGAAAAGGTTGCGAGGAATACGCATTCAAGTGACAACATTAAGGAGAAACTGAACCACACACCCGTCGACGCTTGCTCGGCATGCCAGCAATATAGGCGTCGGAGAGACGTCGCACAGCAGGTGATGCATCGTCACCTTCCGATGTCGCTTCCTCTGCTTCCCCACTACCAGCGGCAGCGGCGGAGGAGGCCACCGCCATTTGAGTCACATCGGAGGCTACAAGTGTGGTCCACTCAGGTGGGAAGGAGGCGGGAGTGGACGGTAGTGGAGAGTATTCATCTGAGGATGCAAGCCACTCGCTATCCGGGTTCGGTGCCAGCGGATCAGTTGGTAAACTCGCCGAATCTGTGTCCCACTCAGGCAGCGCCGCCGAGCCAATGGCTTCGGCTCTCGCAGCCCTGGTAGCGGCGTCGTTCGACACAGTGGCGGCAGTGGCAGTTGAAGGAGAACCCAGCGGAGCATCCTCACTGGCGTCCATGTAAACCTCTGAGACGTCTGAATCGTCTGCAACATCAACCTAGCAGTAAAATGATAGGATTTAAGGTTAGGCATAGTCGCAACCGTTGGAGGTGCCCACAACCTCAGAGAAACTTCATCAAGAGAATCTAAAGGCCTCCATTCGGAAATTTGAATATCTTTTTGCTTTTCTTTCTAGAACATTCCGGAGGTTTTTTTCAATTATCCAGCATTTTGGGGATGCACTTTGCACGCGCTACTACAATTTGTTCTCAAGATCAGCTGGAGAAGCAAAAATTTCGCCTTCGTATGTAGTCAAGGGACCTCATTACCCCGGGGCTCCAAGGACGTGCATATACGCACCATACACCGTCTACGGCAGTAAAACGTGCTCTGAAGTTTCCATTCTCTTGGATCTTATCGAAAACCCAAGAGTCCCCGTGGAAACACATCAGTTTATAACACTAACATGCTGTAATGAAATGACCGTTAACAACGGGGCTCTTACAGTCGCCGTCTTAGTGCTATGATATCCCGTCCTTCTACAAATCAATAATGGTCCGCCCTCGAAACTGATGTTTTACTACATTCTCAAGAATGACTTCGAGTGGCACAGTGGCGACCTTCGTAAGCAAGCCTGATTCAAATGGGCAACAATCCTAATTTCGTCAGGAAGATAACTCTTGTGCGGAGACCAATTGCAGAAGGGCTACAGAAGCGTCGATTGTTAGTGGAGAATTTGCACGAAATGGCGGCGCATATTTTAAATCGGTTCTTTCAAAAAAGTTTAATGCCCTTTAATCCCATAAAAACTGCCCTAAGCAAATCAATCACTATGACAAATCAACTCAAAAAGATACGATTTACGAATTATTTGGCCTTGATGTTAAAATGGAAAGGAATACTTTCCTACCTTTGCACATGAAGCTTCAGAAGGAGGGGGAGAAATAGTGGATGAGGCAGGCAGTGGCCTGGTGACGAGGTAAGACTGCATCCGTTCACGATTTTCGACGAAACGAGCCACCCCATTTTCCAAGTACTCTCTCATGACGGCATCCAAACCTCGCTGGATCAAATTCATAGCTTCACGTTCTCTGCCATCCTCTGAAAAGTGAAAGACTTAGGAGGTCAAGTTAAGGTCGATAGGAGATTTTTTTATTACCTTAATAGGGATGGGCTTAAGTCCAAGTTTCGAGATAATGCTATAGCCAGTGTAACAGAAAATTTTCTGTTTTAATTGTAATAAGCAGGCCTTTCATTTTCCAAAAGTTATACTTCCGCATTGCCTTTCAATAATGCGCTTCACTAAGCTAAAAGCAGGACCTCCAAACTGGTACACCCTTCTACAGCTAGGAGGAGCCAAGGCGCTGCAAAGGATGAGTTAAATGAAGGAGTTGTATTGGTGAACACGCCCAAAGGTATCATAGGAAGAAGCTCTTGGCACACATTGCCGTCATGGCATCAAAATAGCTGAATGGATTGTGTCCATTGAAGTCCATTTTGACAATTTCCCCCAAATAGGTAAAATTCGGGAAATAAGACGCTGTATGTATTTAAAAGCGCCCAAGAAAACACCTTGGAATTACTTGTTCCAGTAGGATCAATGAAATAAGTGAGCTTAATTGAACAGTACGCACAGGAAGAACACTTTCCCGTTGCGCCAGAAGCGAGAAATACGCTAAGATGAATGACGTCTTCGTACTCAAGGATATGGATAAATGTCACATTCAACCAAAATCCCGTTCAACCCAATAAGAGACAGTGCCTACTGAACGGTGAATTGAAGTTTTTGATCAGAGGGACAAATTACGACCGAATAAGTTCACAAATAGCTAGACAACCGCATTCAAAATAATCATCAATTCTTTGGTGGATGACACAAACACCGAAGAAAGCCGCTCATTATTTGCTACCATCGACTTAAAATCTAGAATATGGGCAGTTTTGTACCAAATTCTCCACGTCATGGAAAATGACACCAGATGTCAGGTGGCGCTATAGAGGAGTGACGAATCTTGCAGCTCAAGTAGTGCTGCAGATCTACGCGATTGTGTGGCACGAGGTGGTGATGGATGGTGGGAGCGCCTTAAAACAAGACTCGTCTTTTGACCCCAATAGCCACCCAAAAATGCGTGAAGATGGTGAGCCGGCGACTTCAAAGGCATACTCACGTAGTGCACAAAGCAAACGACATGATCGACCCCCACCGCCAAGGTCGCGCAACCTGGAGTGATGGCAACACACCTCAAAAATAATAAAAATTAGGTGCAAACTATAAAGCTAAATGAAATTGCGAAAGAAAAATAACAATGCTCCATTCGGATTGGGATCAATCGGGACCATAGTTCTATAAGGGAGGGTAAAATTGGTGCTTGATTTCACACTGTGATATCGCACACGGCAATAAGTACCAAATTTCTGTTCTGCCACCGATAGCCCGGACGTATGACATGGAACAGTCCAGATACCAATAGTCAAAGTGGAGGGCAGCGGTGGCAGGGCAAGCATCCCACGGCGAGTATTGGTGGATGAAGTCGCTGATGAACAAAGGCATAAAGCCCGAATAGTTATTGCCAAAGGTTACGCCACGGCAAATGCAAAAACAGGTAGGAGAGGATCACTTAAACGTTAAGTATGTAAATCTAGCAGAGAGGAACTACATTGGGAAACAAATGCAGTTCCCACTGCCTTAAATTCCTTTTATGGGTTCCAACGTCCTAAGGTGAACACCACCCCGTAACACGAGAGATAACAGACTTTGCAAAACAAAAAAGGATCGACCAAAAAATTCAATTTATCGTAACGAGAGGCATTTGTGATGGACGATAACACAGCCAGGGACGCAGCAGAGAGGGGATTAGCCTTTTGCTCCAATGTCACACATGCCCACGTGCTAAATGCTGGCAGGCAAATGCGAAGGACGCTCAGATTACAGTGTTATACTTCCGTTGTAAACGGTAAGGGCAGGAGTGGATGCCGTTGTCGCATGATCACTTATACCTCATGGCTAACCTGGCAGCTTGGTACGAGAAATGTAGTACCGGGAGTGAATATAAATGCGAAGCTCATGCAAAAATTGCGTAGCAGGAACACAATGTCAACTCTGCCAAAGTAGATGGAGATAAGCTTCTTGCTTATGAGCGGGTTATGACCGAAAATGCCAGGATAGAAGTAGGGTACTCCGAATGATTAGCAAGTTCACAGAGAATAAAAGAGGACGCTGAAACCGATTCGTGGAATCAGGTAAATAACAATAGTGAAAGTTGAGAAGAGGTAGGTGGGAAAAGTGGTGGGATTCATTTTGAACGTCTTCATGTTTAACTTTTGAAAACACCGTTCACAAACCATACGAAGTAGACTGACCTAAAAACATTTTTACTGTCGTGAAGCAGACACCTGTCTTTAGTTGAAACCGAAAACGTAAACACTACAAACTGGCAAAACAAAATTTTAGCCAAAACACTAGCACGCGGTCACAATTACGAAATTTGGAAAGAAAAATGACTGACTCACCACGCAACGAGCTAGTAAAATCCCTCAACATAGATAACATGGGTTCAAAGGACATGGCATGGCCGAAAGTCGCCACTCTGTCAGCTCCCTCGGCTTCAGCAGAACCTGATGCAGCGGTAGAATCCAGTCGGAGGCCTAAACGTTCAACGGCCCGTTGTACGAGGAGGTCACAGAAGCCGAATAAGTCCAACATGATGGCGTTTAACGAGTTCGTCATGATGGTGCCGAGGACACCGTGAGATCCGATGTCGCGCCACAGAGGGAGCTGACGTGACAAGCTGTCCTAGAACACACGTTGATGCGGTGTAATCAAGAAGGTTATTAAACATTTTGCCTTTTCATGAAATTTAAAAACTTCCAAAGCGAATCAGGCAGGATTTCAATGAAGGGATGGAACCTGATGAGACACCGACCCTTCGACATTGAATTAAATGTCGAACGTAGGCAGCTTATCGCCAAGTTAGTCGGTGGCATTTCATAACGCCTGTAGGCAGCATTCTACGGGCGGTAGCCAACAATTTTACACCCACGAATCGGTTTAACAGAAGGCCAGTACATTTAAATCGTTGTAGGTGGGACAAATATTCGAACTATTTACCAACACAAATTCTTTTCACCCGCCATTTGTATCTCACATCGGGGTAAAAGAACCTTGCTCACGTCATATATGCACTAATGGCCCGTCAGCTACTTTCAAACTCGAATGCACGGTATTGTCAAGGGATGTAACCTGAAGAATATATTGACGGGAAGATTAACCAAATCACTCTAAGAGGAGGATAATTTCACAACTTGTGGTTTAGGTACTATTCCAGAAAGTAGTAGAAAGAGGATTAAACCTTAAAAAAGCCGAAGACATCAGCTTTTTGCCGGTAATCTAGTTTCGAAGTTGTTTACCGTATTGTTGGCAAACACGATGGCATTAATGTACCGACTGGCATAAGAAAGCGCTTAGAGCATTGCTACCCAAAATGAATCGCTATCGCCGACACAACTCATAAAACAAGGGACGTAACGAAAATTACACTCAATTTCACAAGACACTTAGTATGAAGTTAGTTTATGTCTCGGAGTTCTGTCTCAGAACTAGTTATTCTGAGTCCCTGCTCATGCCACCACAGATGTCACCGATCTATCAGCCCTTCTACCTAATAAAAATGAAGCCCCTCCCAGACTGGTAATATCAACATATTACGTTTTCAGGGAAAACTTGGGTGCTGCAGAAGACATAAAAGAAGCCTCGCCACAGAAAACGCACCGTCAAAAAGTTGTGCAAACTCCTACGCAAATCTAGAGGCGCCACACCAAGAGGCACCGCAAGCGACGTTCCCCACGCCACAATATCGCGCTCCGGAATGTTGTCAACAGCCTCGTCAGTGGCGTGACCATTGAGCAGGAGATCGACCAATTCAGGACGCACATTAAAGCTTTGCGGATCGAGGTTGCGCTCAAGCATACGCTGCACATGAGGATTCACGCGGTCCACAGCATGGCGGAGTACAGAGTTTGAGCCATCCTCCTGCCTTTCGGACGCGGCAAAATGTAAACTGTCGACTAAGGCCACCAACATCGAGCGAATGCGTGAGATTTCATCGCTGCGGTTGATGAAGGGGAAGTTGTTACCGTTTCTCCAACCGTCTAGATCCACGTTTGCTATTGAAATAGATAAAGAAGCCTTGAAAGGTATAGACACCTGTACATCTCTTCAGATGCCAGCATTGTAGGCCTCTGCATGTGCTTAGTATAGATCTGCTTTAAGATTTGCATCCACTGCATGGCTGAAGTGTGGAAGGAAGGAGGGGAGATGTCCCCATAAGGCATCTTCATCTCTCATTCCCGATGCCGTTTATAATTCTGTAGTGAAACTTCAAATTAGAACATTCTGAAGTCTCATTAATACCGCCTAGGATTATAGTAACGAAGGCTATTTCCCGACGATTACACCCAACGACGTCTTCAGAGACAAATCAACAACCACATCAACAGCAACAACTCACAAGTGAAATCAGTCTGCCATCTCAGTTAGCAAATGCTTCAAAGCACAGGGATACTTAGGACGAATGAGCACATACTTACGCAATCATTTCAGTATCGTTCGGTTCGACCAGCTTTGCCAGCGGTCCTCAGTGTCGTTTAGGAAACGAAAGTTAATATCAAGTTCAAGCCGTATATAAAAGGCTAAATTAAATTTGAAAACTGGTCTCCGATATGCCGTCTAATGTAAGGTAATCAAGTATTTTTAATACGGCTCTATTCCAAGTTCTAACTGCTACACCCAAAAGCTCCAAGGTTATCATTTCATTCAGTGTAGTAATGATAAGTCCATTGGTTAAAATCCTACCCAAATCGGAGTTTAGGCAGACCCCAAATCCTAGAGTCGGAAAAGAGGTAATTTGAAAAAATCGAAATGACATTGTTCATGACATTCAGTAAGCACTTTTGTTTCTACCAAAACAAAATAATCGTACTTTGGGATGGGGAAAACTGAAGTACTTGGCTAAAACCCAGTCAAGCCTTGACTTTTACTGTTAAAGCTATAAAAATGATGTTACCGTGGCAACAATATGAGTGGTAAATTTAACATTTCGTGGCCCAATCCAGTCCATGGCCCGTTAGTTAAGACAATGGGCGAAGCTAGTAGTAAGTATATGTGCCTGAAATACCATATTATGGTGAATGGTTTCTTGTGAACAAAGGTATGAAATCCGCACAGAACACCTCAAGCACAGTATGACGCTTGGGCACCCAGCTACTTAATAAGGCAGTCAAATGGTGTGATCATGTCAGTGGCGATCCAGAGCCTAGTGATCTCTTTTCTGCCCCGAAGATGCCCTGTGAGCACTAGTTAAGCACCGAGAAAAACGCATAAATGTAGGAATAGATGAAAACCCAAAAAAACCTTTTTACCTCCTTAACTGTTTTTCATCTTTAGAAATTCAGAAGCCTCGATTACACCTAAGCAACTCGCACACTCCTATCAGCTAGACTTTTTGGCATTATTGCTAACGCAAAGACAAAGTTAGTCAAGGCAGGATGGATACAATAAAGAGGAAATTTGCCTACGCAATGACTCCGGTGAAAGTTGACCTCGCGCCAGCTCGATAATGAAGGACCACATGGATCGAATGAGACTGTCAATCAGGAGGCCAGGAAGCATGGTAAGACGGAAACCCGATTCTGATGGTGATGCATTACCGCCGGTCGTCGTGTGAAAGAAGAATTGGGGTGCTGAAGATCAGAACAGGTGAAGGTAGAGGCAAAGAACGGCAGGTATTAGGTGAAGAGCAATAACTTTTAATCATATCCCACGCTATGAATCCACAAAAATCGGAAAAGTGGACGTTTGCAAAGCAGTCACTCAAAAAACTACTCCAGTGGGATGCAAATAAAACAGTGACGTACGTGGAATGAACTGGACACCTCCATTTTGAGGGTTATTAATTATCCAGGTGAAGGGTCCGACCGTGGTGGAGCCGGAGGTGGTAGAAGCGGTAGCCGCACCGAAGCCCGAACCAATGCCATGGGCCACTAGCTGCGTCAACTGATTGGTCACATCGCCAATAGCCCTGTTGAAAAGTTCCGCATTAACGCCACCGGAGCTAACTGCGGAGGCCATCGAACGTAGGAAATTGGGGTAAGGTGGCTGCATGGGTGGATGTGAATAACGTAAGTAATGATGATAAAGCGTGAGCCACCTCTAAAGACCAAAGAGTACACACCCGCGGTGTGTTAGCAGACGTGGTGGATGAAGGAGCTGAGGCGCTAGCTGTTGAGTTCGTACCGATTTGAGCGCCAGCCGATCGACCCCGGCGGGACGCAGTACCGAGGGATTGTCTGCGAGGTGTTGAGGCCCCATCTCTCGATGTAGGACCAACGTAAGAGCGTCTGCGACGGACGGGGACGTGGGAAGCGCTAGCTGGAGTTCCAGAGAAGTGGCGCGAGTTGCATGGCAGGAAGGTATCGCCATGACGACTCGGTAGGAGGCCAGTGAGAACGGAAGCGGGGGAACGCTGAGAATTTCCCGAAGACGCGGTATTCCGAACACGTGACTGTGACCCCATTGGGGCTGCTGTCTGCCCTTCTCCTTGCTGCTGCTGCTGCTGCTGCTGCTGCTGGGGCGTTCTTGGGTGTGATACAGCACGAGACGATATGGAATCGATAAGGTGATCAAGTATAGCAGCCTGAGCCGTGCGTCCTACCGGTGTTTCAATCACCACAGCGGTCGGGATGCTCATACCGCCACTTGGAGCTTCGGTTCCTGAACGGGCTATAGGCAACAGTAGGCCACACTCATGAAAAATGATTCCAAGACTAATCGAAAGAGCATAGATTCTAACAAATTCGACCTGTCATGACACAGAATTTGGGCTTAAAACGAAAATACGCCGTTAAAGAAATGAGGACGCATGTACGAAAGCATGAGAACTAGAAAAAAGACACGTACAAACAAAAACATTATTACTGAATCTTTGGCGGATCGTGGAATCAAAATCCAGTTCTAGTTAATATAAACTCTAGTACAGCTTCTTTACAATAATGACAAGATCATAAAGCAAAGTCAAAAAATCAAAAAAAACGCCTTCAGAGTGAAAATAGCAAACAATGGCAAATAAGTAGCACCAAGACAACAAAAAGGGGATTTTGGCGGATCAAAGAACTTCTTAGGGAATTTAAGATCAAAATTAACAAGTTCAAAAGCTCACCCTTGTGAAGCTAGTGAGGCACAGTACAAGGCACAGTAGTGAATGCACAAAAACTTTTAGCACAATTACTACCATGGCCTCAAAGTTAAATCGACCACCGCAACCCAGATTTTTTATTCTTCAGTAACGTTAATGTTTACATCATCCAGCAGACAACCACTGCTATCCAAGAGGTTAAGCGACTATCCTCAGACGAAAAACTTCTGGCATTTCTTCTATCCTTTTCAACGCAAAAATACCTGTTCGCAGGACAATCTGTCGCAAACAGTTATCATAAGATAGTGAGAAGCAAGTGTTACACCTGTGATGAGAGCTCAACTGAAATCGGGTCACCACATATGCTACGACAGAAGCAAACGTGCTGCTTCTAAAACCCAATTTTATCATAAGGCAGTTCGCACCACCTGAATCAATAGTGCAATTAGTTACATTTAAATTATCACCAAAATGGCTGTTTCTAAAAAGAAGCAATCCTTACCCACAGGTGTACGTTCATCAGCACCAGATGGGGCAGAAGAGGGTGGATTGGCTGACTGACTTCTTCGTCTACTGCACAAGGGGAAAAAGTTGAACAACTAGAGCGCGTTCGCGAGGATGAACAGCAAGCACAACACCTACCCTCGAGGCTCCTCAGTGTCCCCGCGCGAGAGGCTGACCACCGGTCTAGCTATGGTGACCACCGTCGGTTCAATGTTGATATGCGCATAGAGAATGGACGAGTCTGGCTCGTTAATGACGAGAGAGCGACTATGATGAGGTCTAGTTGTGGGAGCGGAGGCCGTTTGAGCTTCAGCTAAAGGTGCAGGCGATGGTGAAGATGCAGAGACGTCAGATGAACCAGTGGTCGGCTGATCAGTCGGTGGACTGGTCGAAATGACATAGAAGTCGGAGAGGAGATGAAGCATGTGGGCGTGAAGATGGAGAAGAGCACTGACTTGATTGAAAAACTAAAACAAAACAAGACAATTACCAAACATCATCCGGACAGGGGTTTAGTAGTGAGGAGAAAAGCAAGTTAACACACCCCCTGAGACCAGTCAACGTTTGTGGAGGACTCAGAAGTATCCATAGGCTCCTGCTCTTGCGCCATAGGTGTGGTTGCCGACTCGATATCGTCAGCACCAGCAGTATTGGAAGCCGCATCAGCATCAGGAGCAGCAACATCGGAGTTACATTCCTCGCCTCCCCCATGGGTCGAAGCCCTTGTTCGAAGTTCGTGTTCACTTCGCAACATCGCTTCCCACCGGTCCATATGAGGCTCTAGTCTTTGCCACAGCTGTCTTTGTTCAGCCAGCATGTCTGCAAGACGCTGAAAATTTAGCGGTGAAGTCGTTTGCTGTGACGTCGAACTTGAACTTGATTGAGCACTCTCCGAAGCAGCGGTGGGAGCAGTAGCGCGATCATCGACGTTGGTAGATGGAGCTGATGTGGTCGAGACAGAGGGTCTGACACCATCCAGTGCATTCAATAACTGCGTCGTTTGGCGTTGGAGCTGTCGGAAGTGATTGTTGCACATTTCTCCGAAGGAAATGTTTACTTCAATGTCAATGTTACCGCCGCCATCTGTTTGCATTGAAGAAGTGCTAAAAGAGGGCAGAGATTATTTAATGTGAGAGGGAAAGGTCCAGATAACCTACTTCCCAGCAGGAGAAAAGTTTGTCCCAGATGAAAAAAGGGAATTCATGGTTTGTCGGAAATTCATGAAGTTTGACGGATTAAAGGGAGGCTGTTGCTGCTGGTGAGAGCCACTTGGACCTGAAGATGAGGCGGTCGCATCGGTATTTAGTCGGGGTGGAGGTCTAGGGACCAAGTGGATAGTGTTTGACGCAACACCTACAAAGAAGACAAGCGCCTTCTAGGGCATCAAGTTGGGGAACAAAAAGATATGTTATGCTACGCAAAATGACTGTAAAGTGCACTATAAGGTTGAGAATAAAATTACCACAATCTTTCAATTTTCTGTCATCGATAAGAACCTTTCCTTGAAAGATCAATCGCTGCCTTTCAATTGGGATATTCTTAAAAAAAATTAGCTAAAGCATAAACGCACCATCTCTTCTGTGATCCTTTGCTTGAAGGCGGCTACTGTGAAATCCTATAAAATTTTTCAGAAGTTCAATCCACTAAGTTACGTCGTCTTCGATTTGGAAGGTTTTGGATTCACCATCGAGTGTTTTAACGTGAACTTCAAACATGCTTTAAGCCAGGAAGATAACAGATTTTGCTAAACAGATCAACAAGAGCCACCCGGAGGACCGCAGTCACAAGTGGACGATCGCCACAAAATTCGATTTGTGCGGAGCCCCACTACTTCATAACCGTAAAATAAAACAATGAGTGCAAATTTATCATAGCAATTAACACTACAGGAAGAACCTCTAAGAGACCCAGGTGATTGCCAGTACTTTTTTTTCTTATTCAAATTTTTGCTTTTTATTATTTTTAAAATGTGATCGTTGCTTCATATCATTTAGTCCGAATGATGTAGATATAGTGAATATATATATAAGAATCTTAATTTGGTTCGGTAACTTAACAATTTTCTTTGCAGTATGTTAGTTACTGGATTTGTTTTATACTACTCTTAAAGAAAATGTCGAGAAAAACTCATCCGTGAGGAAACCATTCCCCAATTTTATGCAATTAGCACAAATTCTTTTTTCATCAATTATGGTCAAGTTTTTTGTGAATATTACTGAAACGAATCCCTAAAACTTGGCATTATAATCAATTTCGGTGTGGTTAATTTCTCATTAATATATAGAAGTGTAGCTTCCCGAGACTCCCTCAAGACGAAAGAAGGCACAGTACTCGGGCAGAATATATGTATTCAGCACGGCGAAGGTGTCTGGACTATTGGCATGGTCCAAAAGGCCAGCCCACCCAGCGAGGTACATGGGGGCTTATTCAAAGTACAAAAGTGGAGCCTCACCAGAACCGAGGGATAATGTGAAGCGAGACTCATTGGTCTCCGCTTCCCTATTCCTAACATTCTTAGACAAGCCCGGTTGATTCGCTTTTGACATCTTTATTAAAAGTGATAAGATGGGGAGGGAAAATACAATGTTCAAGAAGGAGGGGAGCTGTAGTCACTAGGTACGGGGGAGGACAATCCGACCACGAGATTCCAATTTTCTGCTTGCCTCCTCCCTGAAAGGTACATTCAAACAACGTAAGTATTACAATAAACCACTATCGTATTACAGAAGTGTATCACTTCCCTCGTTTATCTTCTCTTCTCTGAACTTCGTATCTTTTGAGTGAGCAGGCTGATTTAATTAGGACATAGCTGTCAGCTAGGGTGAACGAGAATAGGTACAGGTTTATACGTGTCGGGAGACTGAGCCCTACCCTTCTTTGGGGGATTCTGACTACTCAATGGCGAAGTTCGAGTTCGCTACCCGCTTTCTCTCTAAAAAGTGCATTTAAACAGCACAAGTACTACAGAAGTGCTGTGAAGTTACAAGCAAAGCCGAAGGGTCATGCCATGTAACATAAGTATAACCGGTGGTGAATAAGGAGCTTTCGTTCTATATGTACATCTCTCTGCATATAGATTCTTCAGATAGAGCATTTGAGGTAATGACTGGTATTTGGTCGCAATACTGGCATTTGCGGCTGTGTGATAAGGCAATTCCAAGGCTCCTGCACGGATGTGCGGCAAAGACTACCAAAAATTAGCCACCAGTATAAATGTTGCTCTTGAATCAATAGTAGTAGCCACTTAAAATATTTGAGGGATTTTATCAGCGTAGAAAGAATCCGTTGTGTCATCCAAACAACTACGTGGGTTTCTCATTTTCCGCGGCCTCAACTTCTGTCAAGGCGGTACGACCTTTTCGTCATGTTTACGACCTCCTGGCCCTCCTGTGCGTTAAAAATACATTACCTCTCATAATAGCATGGCTTGTTACAAACTCGAGTAAGTCTCGGCTCCTAGTCCATTGGAAAACCACTCTGATTTCCTTGTCTAGTTATCATGCATTAACATCAAAGATGGGAGACATTTACCACAGACGACTGGACGGTGGAAACGCACAATAAAAGGACCTTCGAAGTCGCCTCCATCTTTAGCAATGGCTTTACCTTCGAGCCAAGCGGAGTCACATTTAAATGCTTTGAAGGCGTCCATTATGGAACTGCCTGCGGGTAGATGATTTGTGCAAACAGATGGTACCTCCTCCACATCTCCATTGGCTAAAGTGGAACCATGCGAGACGGAAGGGCTACACTGAAATAAAAACAGTGGCAAGGAGAAGCAAGTGATTTACACTATCTCTGTAAAGCTTCTTCAAGATTTTTCATTCAACGGTTCCGCATTTTGGCTAACGGTCCAGCATATAATGACTGGACTACAAATTGCCCTCATCGCTCATCCTTGCGGAGTACAAAGTCAAGTAGAAGGGCAAAACTGTGAATAATATGGGATTGAGGGAAGGCATCGTTGACTTAACCAAAACTCTTCTCACTGTCATACAAACTTAATGATTTCCTTCCTGACGCCTTTGTTATTTTACAGGCCACTTGCTACGTTGGGATGACCACAACGGAAGAATTACCAAAGAGGCTATACGGCGAGTTGATGGTTGCGTTAATTGTCCAGTTAACTTCATTTACTCAGTAGTTGTCTGTAGCCTCCCAATCCCTTCTTCCAAAGTGGTGTGGATTATTACAACTTTAGGGAAGAGACGGGGAACAACAAGGCATATTGCGTTTACCTTTAGTGCAGTTGCCCTTAAACTTTGTCGTTAAATGCGACTTAACTGCGGTGGTTATAGTGATTTGATATTTTGTTTACCTACGCGAGTACTGGAATCTGTGGAGGCTTCAAGCAAACCTCGAAGGCAACACAGCAGAATGGCAGTACATTCTGTTGAGACTGAAGTGTCCTGGCACAGTTGAACAGCACAGGACTAAAATATCAGTTTATGACAAATGCTGGGATATATATATACATATATTAACTTTAATAATAGTAGATTAAGCCAATTTACTACAGGAGGCCGCTAGGGAGGAGTTGGGCCCCAAACGATTACTTTGCAGTGTGGGTACAGCGAGCTAAACAGCTTGGGGAGGACGATGAACAACCAAATGGTTTCAGACCGGACTTCTTGATTGAATTGTTGACCGCCGCCGCAGTCGTCGGTGTTCGGGGCGGAAGAGATTCACATCAACAAACTAATTAAGTAAAGTTTGGCACTTTTTAAAATATTACGAGAATATGTGGAGCCAAAATCAGTCAAATTGAAATTAAAGCCCGAATTTGAACCTTACCTGATAGGCATATATGTGTAGACGTGCCTATTTTAATGCGCAACAAACGATTAAAGTCTCATTCAGACAAACTTCTTGGAAAAAACAACGAATCAAAACAAAACATAAGAACATACTGCAGCGTCTCGAGTCCTTCCTAAAAGGCATAATATTAGGGCCGGAATATGTATTGCCGCCTCATAGAAGGGCTTGGGAGTGGGAGGGTCTGAGGGGCTACTGACATGGCTTGGAGGCCATTCCATCCAGAGGAGGCACAAAAGCGGAGCCTCAAATGACCGCAAAACTAAAAAGTAGAGTTAAACAAATAATAAAAGTGGTAAAAACCCTTAAAAGAAGTAGCTGTCTTTGAGGCAAGAGCGCCGAAGCAGCACAACTGGTCTGTGAGGAATAGTGCCTATTAATGTTGGAAGCGGACTCATCAGGCCGATTGTAGTCACGATCACTGAAAGACATGCTAAAAATAAAGTCAAATTACGAGAAGGGTTGATGTGTTAAAAGAATGTTTGACACGCTAAACGCTAGTGTCACAAATATGTGACACGTGTTCCTTAACTTCGTGACAAATGCTTCTACGGAATCGTGTGGCTAATGAATTAGCTGAGGTTACAAGAACACTGGAAAACTTTTCCATTTGCGCTGTCATTGAGTCACTATAACATGGAGACAGTCTAGGTGTGCCACCTTTCACTCAAGGTGGCGACCATTCAAAAGGATGGAGGTGCACTAGGAAAGGCCATCGCCCGTATTCACCAGTGCTTTGGCATGGTTGGGAGGTACCCACACAGCCCTCCAAGCCCACTCTGAGTGTCAGGCAGTGAAGGTCACCATTATGAAGTCTTCACTTCATGACCTTGAGAGCAAAGACAAGGGTTGGGTTAGAGGCGATAGGCAAAATGCCCAACAGATGAAACATCCATGCAATACAAGTTCTTCATGTAAGATGCTAACCAGATAATTACATAACTGCTAAAGGCTTCGTAAAGTACGCTCTTCGATAAGTAGTCGACCACGGAATCCTTTTCAGTAAAACACAAAAAAAATGCACTCCAATATGTAAAAACTCGGAATATTTTACGACGGTGAAGTGAACGGAAACAGCGACTTGATTATAACCATTTTGGTGGTCGAGGTATTCAAAAAAATTAATAGATTCGCTAAATTGGCTAACAAGTGAATTGAGGTGACTCCGGGAGAGCGAAGCCTGTCCAGAAAGATGAACACTTCTTCCGGATGAAAATTTGAATTGCCATTGGATAGGGTGTAGGGCGTTTGATTGCATTGGATGGGAAAATTTTTTCGTCTATTATCAAATGCAATGGAGGATCAAGCTGAAGATGATAGGGTCCATGAAACGGAAGAAGCTGCGCGACTGAGGATAAATATGGGGCAACAAAAATCAGCCTGATGCCTCATCCTCATCTTCATTGCGCAATATCCGATCCCAGATAGGCAGGTGTGCTAGAATCTTCCAATCAAGTGACTTGCTAACATGGTGGGTGTTAAGAGGTAGTCAGCGGTATAAGCGGTGAGAATAAATACGTCCAGGGCCGGTCTTCCTGTTTACCTATTATATTATCAAGATACATTTGGGCTGGGTGAAAAGGCTCTAGACTTGGAGTAAATGTAACTTAGGCAGCGCATGATGTCATACCTTGATAATACTATTTAACACGATCTCTCTGGAGTAGACCTTATCGAAGGATGTCTGTCGCGGATCCCTTTTGTTCCTCTAGGTAGATCATTTATCGGCATAAACTGCGTAAAAACTGTTAAAAAAATTTGCGAAACATGAGGTAGCCAAAGAGTTTGCAAGATTTTCGACAAAGCCAATTCCAAAGACTCGTTTGACTCGTAGTGTTAGTCCTTCGCCGCGATGAAACGTACAGAATGTTATTTAAATGAGACGGATGAGTGTGATTTG